CAGGATATGGACACGAATCAAACAATAAAAAGGTGCAAAATCATAGTTTATACACGATTTATTGTTAGTTTATTAACCCTTAAATTTTTTTTATTTAAAATTTTATAATCGGTTCTATTTCTGCGCATTAACCAAAAATTAAACACCAGAATTTTACTAATCACCATAGCTAGTTAATAGAGGAAGCTTCAAAGTGCAGAAAGGAAAGGATGTGCTGGTGACTGGTGTGGTGGGGCTGAGAGAATGTTTGAGTAAGATGAAAGCCATGGCGATGGTACCTCAGAAGACAATTAACAAATGAGATTAACGTGTTCGTACCTCAGAAGATGCCCACAAATCAGCACAAACAAGAAACCAAAGGTTGATGGCAAAGCGTGAAGTAAACTACACAAGGATTATATATATATTAAATATATAATTTTGGAAAGGGCAGGGAGCTTTTGCTTTAGAGTCTGCAAAGTTTATGCAACCCGAGGCAGATATCAGTTATCGCAATAAAATGTGTTATATAGGCAGCGGTATTTGCATATTTATTTAGTTACTTAACAGGATTTGCGTATTAACGCGGACGATTTAATAAGTGTCATAATATAATTAATTGAATTTTTTTTCTTCTTCAAATTTATAACTAATTGTATTATGACACTTAATGTACAGAGTCGTATTTCTGACATGTTAAATTTTCTTTCCTATTTGGTAGATACATGAATGCCATAGATAAATACTCTATTTTTATAAAATGACGCTCACAAAATAATTATAATTTACTAGAATGTCATAAATGCGGTAGTTATAAGCTTTGACTTTATAATAATTTTAGAGGGCGTTTATTGTACCGGATTGTCTCATATTAGAATCACTTTAAAAACTATGTTGGATTGGTTTGGCATGAACTAAGTAGTATAAGAATAATGAAACGTTTGGTCCAATATCGAACTAAATCATAGACTAAATTATTTTTGAGATCCATATATTTTTTATCATTTTTTAATTCATCTAAATAATATTTTATTATTATTAATCCACATTATTTTTTTCTAAGTTACTCTCTCTCCCCCACTCTCTATCTTTCATTTTCTTCCGAATAATATTATTTATACTATGTTTTTATATCATATTTTCATATTACTTTAATGGTATCTAATATGAACAGCAAGATCATTTGAATTAATCATATTTTTAAATTAGTTCATTATTTAATAAATTAATAATTAAAAAAAACTTGTTAATTAAATGATGATTTCCTTGGGTTTTGCAAATTTCAAATGATGTAGCGGTCTAAGTCAAATTCTATTTAAAGTGGTATAAAAATATGATATAAATAGAGATATGAATAGCATTACTTTTTCCTTCCTTTTTTTTTTTTTTTTTCTTTTTTTCTTTCCTTTCTCTTCTTCGCACCGTCCACATATGCTCTCGTCGACGCCCCAGTCAGCGGCAACCCCTCTTGTCGCCGCCGACAAAATCTCCTTCTCGTTTGAACCTTTTACTTCTTTCTCTCACCTTTTGCCTCGTTTAAACCTACAAGATCTTTGAAGCCCACCTCCAAATTTGCCTTCTCTTAGCTATCAACCGCTAGAGCTTAAATGTCCCACATGCCTAATCTCTGGATAATTTGCAGCATCATCAATATTAACCTCACAAGGAGAGCTTAATTTAATTGTACCTCATGCCTAATTTCCCAGTGGCTTACGGATTGACCTTGTGATCTTCTCCACCATTGACAAGAACTCTAGATGATTTTCTACCAATCTTGAGGCAATTCACCGATGTAGAATGTGCCACGAATTCCTGTGAGACACATCCCACGTTAAGGCTAAAATTATCAGAGAAGATGAGTGGGGTGGCGTTGACATCGATCGAAGCCTCGGATCGAGCCGTGTAATCAGATTTTGAGATTTAGGCGGTGGGTGGGGTTGTCGGTGCAAAGAGATAGAGCAAGGGAGAGGGAGAGAAGAGAAGACGAAGTAGACGAAGCGAAGGTCTTAGCAGTCCTATTCTTTTCGAGGTATCTCGCTAAGACCGTCTAGGGAGGTCTTCAGTCGTGGCCAGTGCTTCTAATTCCATTAAAACTAGTTCTTGTGGGTGATAAACACAAGATTATATTAATTCTTAGTCCAGTTCAGTTCATTGGCGAAGCTATATAGGGATCAGAATGGGCCCAGATCTACTCTGACACTTTCTTCACACCAAAAAAAAAAATGATTATGCTTCTGATTTCCAAAGATTTTTCAGGGTATTAGGGTCCTGACTAGAATACTAGGTTCGATTTAAGGATGATGGTTGTTATGCGGTTAACCAACATCATTGTGAGTTTTGGTGGACTCAGGTGATCAGAGAGGGAGAAAAAGAAAGTAGGGGAGAGTGATTTCTTCATTATTTCGCGTAAAATGACTTTTATTTTGAATTTGACTCGTGATACTAGACATGGTAGTTAAGTTGAGGAAGAGAATGACAAGAACGACGTCATACCAAACCCAAATGATGGTGGTCGATAGCTCAGGACATGACATATCTTTATTTTTCTTAGATTAGAGAAGCGTTTTAGGGTGAGACTTTTGGGTCCCTCCTGAGTTAAAATTATAGTTCCGCCACCGAGTCCAATGAAGGCTAGTGATGACGAACAAATGCACTCTTAGCAAATTGAGTGAAATTGCGCAGCGTGTGACAACAAATTTATTAGTTTTGTGTCTAAATAACACTAATCTCTTCTAAATAGGTTCACATATTTTGTATGAGATGAGGCGCACACATTAAGTTTAGCATACCAGAATGCCATAGATGTGGTATACTCTCTTATTTTTTTGGCCAAACCAATATTACCTTATGGAGAGTTTTTTATTAGGGAATGTACGTTATTTCTTCTTCTTCTTTTTTCAGTTTTAAACAATCATGAGATATGAATATGATTTGTCTTATGGAAGCATTGCTTGAAAGTTCGTAAAGATAATTAAGAAATTCAAATAAATTAACATGTATTGAATAAATTTGTAGTGGATAATTTCAAGTATAAATGCTATAAGTATCATTGAGTTTTATAAATGAAAGGTTTTATGACTGATTTTAATTTACATGTTTTTGTTTACTGAATTTGTGATATTTTTCTTTTTAATTTGAATCACAACTAACTACTGATTTTGTGATATTTTTCCTTTTAATTTGAATTAATAAAAAATGTAAATAAAGAGTATCTTAAAGAAACAAAAGTATCTTTTTATAAATAAACAAAAGTAGATCTAACTTGTAAGTTTTACTTGATTTATAAGATTATATGCATGCATGTACCTCAAATACTTTATATTACAATTGTCAAAAGTCAATACTTGGATATTAGAAGATTAGAGTTGAGTGTGGAATTTACTCCACTAATACATTCCTTCACTTAAGATTATTTTGCTAATTAATCACTTAATTTAAGATTTGGAAGCAAGTAAAGCATGTGCAAACATATGATGAGAAAGAAAAATGCCACTTTCCCAACCTCCACACTGTCAAAAACCTTTAAAAAGACAACAAAAAAAAAACATAATTTGGGGGAAAGCATTTTAGCTTCTTACACATCTCTTTTTATTTATGGTCAGTCAACGGCCCATACTAAATAGGAGTGTATAAGAAGATAAAAAAGATGTGAAAATCATTTCCCAATTTACACACACACACACGACATAAAACTATAAATAAAAATAAATAACTTGATGCTTTCATGTCTAACACCATTCATTAATTTTTCGCATTTGACAGTCAGATCGTCATGTGACATTATTAATTTACAAATGGTATAATCTTAGTTGATCTTTGACGGTATAATTGATGTTTATAAACTTATGATATAATATTAATAAAAACATTAAAGAATGATCCAATTACCACACTACGTAACCACGTGACATTTCTGAAAAACTTATGATCTCAATGTGGAAAAAGAATGTCCATCGAGGACGTATAAAACAATGCAAGTCACTTGGTAACATTCACTTAACCAACGTTACTTACAAGGCAAACTACCCATCCACCCATGAACACCCCCAAAACCTAAATATTCAAACCTTAACCCACTTCCTCAAGCTCTCTCAACTCTCTCAAAAAAACATGGGAGAGGCTTCAACGCCCATAGACCTAGCAACTTTCCTGGAAATCCCGGCAGACAAAAAGCCACAAATAGCCACCGCGACACATGCTCACCCCCGCATGATAACCCCCGTATGGCGGCTGAGCCCGAGTCACAACGGCAGCACGCTATATGACTCATATGAGTTTCGAGCTGTGACTCACCAACTCAACAAGGCCATGCAAGCTTCGAAAGCTTCTTCGTCGAGTCGTTATATGTACTGCTTCAACTCGCCCATGTACAGACAAGGGTTAAGTCGCATTGTCAAAGTGCGTGCCAAGAAACCGAAGATAAAATTGTGCCCGCCGCGGTTGTCTTGTGTGGCTACCGGGGACCAAAAGCCAAGCGCAAGGCCGGCAGGGGCGGTGACGAAGGGGTTTGTGGCAAGGGCGTGGAGAAAATTGAAGCAAGGATTTTTGAAGAACAAGCAAAAGAATGAGGGTTGATTACTACTACACTGCTTGCAGGTCTCCTCCTGAAGTTATGAGCAGTTTCAATAAGCCTTTGGAGGTTGTAAACTATTTATGTATAGCATTCTAGGCTGACACGAATCTTCTCCGGTTAGAACTCCGGCACGCTCAAATCTTTCGTCCTTCGGAGAAACCGAAGGGGTCAGCCGGTAGCTATTCCCAGAGCACATTTCTGTTGCAGTTCAGTAGTCATGCATCCCAACTTCAATCGGGTTTAATCTCCTGGTAATATATGATTTTCTTAATTTCAATGTACTTTCAGTTATGTATAGTACGAGAGACTTCCATCCGCCGCTTGGTATCCCACCGTTATATTATTGATTTGAGGCGCCACAGTAACATTACTAACTTACCAGAGAGTATAGGTGTTGAGTCCTCGTATAGTAGGATACACCGTTGGTCTTTTGGCCGGTGTCGAAAAATTGTAAAATTTCCTATTTCCATTGATGATGAAGTTTCATGTACAACAACGCTTCCACAAGAAGCATGCTATTAAAAGCACACCCAAAAAAAAACAAAAAAAGGAATAAAATTATGTGTGGTGGGTTTTTAAGTCATCTTCAGCGCCATTTCTTGAAGAAGAGCTCGCTTCTGCACAGCGTTTATCACGTTGTTGGTTTCGGCATTCTCAAGAACATCGGTGACGATGGCGGCTGCGTGACCCAGTGGCTCCTCGGCTGCCCGCCTCAACATGAAGGCCTGCGCACGACATAATATGGCAAACTTAGTGAGGGGTTTAGCTATAAATTAGATTGTCATCTGATGAGAATTTTGAGAGAGAGAGAGAGAGAGAGAGAGAGAGAGAGACCTGGCCGTGATGGGATATAGCCAACGTACAAGGTTGTTGAAACCAAGGCTCCCCGTCGACCTGAACAGGCAATGCCGCAAAGAGCTGTATCTTAATTGACTGGCCCTGTGCCAGCCTTCGAGCACGGGAAAGCCCAACCTGTACCAAACAAAACAGCAGATCGGAAAAATAGCACGCTATCGAAATCTAGCGTTCACGCTGGATATGGAAAACCATGATCCGTTTTTGAATTGAAACTAACTAGCAAGACATCATTCCGATATGTAATATATGCATCACACGTATAGTGAGGTAGAGTACCTGAAGTTTCCCAAGGTGCCATGTTCCAGAAATGCTCACAACCTCAAGTATTTTATCATGCATAGATTGTGGATCAAAATTATCATAATTTTCGTCTTCATTTTGCCACAGATCTACACCACCCATGTAGCTCCCAATGTTCGCTACAAGCACACCTTCCGCGTCCTGAAAATGTGGGCAAATTGTCAAGCACTGATAATCTCAAAATTAGTCAATCATAATTATATCCAGACAGCCAACTTTGAAGCAATATGATGATTTCTGAATCAGTAATGATTGTGCTGTGTATTTATGGTTAAAATCTTTTCATACTCACGTCGGGGACATCTACCTCAACGCCATCCACTTCAACTTGAACTTGCCACGGAAAATCTTCAAATGTTCTATCTATTATACCCTTCGCACCTTCTCTTGCATAAAGAACTTTATTCATGAACTGCACGTAGATAACAATCTCCGTATCTTAAGCAGGACGCGTGAAAGTAAAATCTGAATAAAACTACTAACAAACAACTATTACAACAGGAACCAATTTAAAATGTGATGTGATCCACCCAGGGTGAGGTATGATTGTATTTAATTGCTTTCTAAATTATAGTTAACGACATGTGATCTCAGACTCGAAGATGCAATATAGCACCACAATCCATCAGTCTAATGCCTAATATAGCACAAGGGAGATTGACTCTAAATAATTTGAATTCCATTTTAGTTAAGTATTGATATTACCTGGTTATAAAACTTCTCTGGATTCTCCTCTCGTAGATTATGAATGTCCAAAGCAACCTTAGCATCACACCCAATTCCTGCAAATGAAGCGGGCCAGAGTTGGTGATAAATGGTAAGTCTGGTGAGATCTCATTCAATGTGATGAAAATCTCACGCAAAAAGGCGTAGAAGTTAGCCAGAATACTCAGAACTAACTCATCAACCGACCATATTGACATTGTTTCACCAGATTTGGGATAAATTTCATAAGTTTTTCTTTTCTCCTTACAGAAAATATTCCATTTCACCTCATACATATGATATATAGTGACAGTGAGCTATAAACAGACTGAAAGAAAAGATGAAGGTAAAGATGTAAAAGCCAACAAATTGATAACTGGCCCAATACAACAGAGTAAGACTGGGGACCGAGACTTCACAAGCTAATGTGAGCTGAGTATATAGTTTGAGAACTGATCTGAGTTAAAACTCATGTCAATAACTATGAGACATACAAACAGCACGAGAACAAGAAAGATCAAGCCAAAATAACAGTATTCCATCCAACTACTCTAGGTGTATCTCATTTATAAACCAGATAATCACAAGCTACTATGATTACATACCGAGATAGTTGTTTAAAAACTTTGGCGACTGGAGCTGCTTCCCCTGTTGATTTACAATTGCTACCTTCCAACGATCAAGGATGGTTACTGCAGCATGCTCTATGTGGTGCAAAACTGTGCAAAGGCCTCCTTGTCTCTCCACTGAGCCCAGACCTCCTCCCCATGACAAAACTCTAGCAAGATCATTCCCCGTTCCAGCAGGAAGAATAGCAACTGGAGGAGGAGAAACAAAATTTTGCTCTTCTATGGCATCCAAAACCCAACCAACGGTACCATCTCCCCCACACACAAGAACTCTGAAGTGCTGCACCTTTCTGAACAAATAAAGACCCACCTCTGGTCCCTGTGTTGAGCTCAGCTCAAAAACCTATATGAAACACAAGTACATGCAAGAATTAAACAAAAATATATGAGATACCACAACTACTAATAACGAACCGGTTGATCAAACTTCATAGACATCAATTGAGGAGACAGCCCTCCATGTAATGTTGATAAAATGTAGCGGTTAGAATATTGCTTTTAGGGCTTCCTATTACATTAAGGAGCTAAACTGGCAGGTCTTTTTTTTGTTGCTCCCATTAGATCCCATTTGTGCAGTGGTATTTCCCACAAAATTCAAACCTCAAACCTTAGTAAGAACATTACTTAACCCACATAAATAGAAACGAAAAGAAATAGTTTTTTTTTTCCACCATGGTATGCAATAACCTTTCTTGACTCATTCAAATATCAACAATGGCAAATAATTGTTTTTTCCAACCATTCAAGATAGTAGAGAAATCAAACCTGAACAGGGTTGAGAAGAATATTCAAACGTTGCCTCAATGAATTCCCACGCTGAGCCCCACTCTTCTTGTTGATAAAAACTAACAAGGGTCTTGCATCTGGTGATAAATCAATCAACTTATATCTTTGTTTCATCCGTAAAACCTGAGACTCGTCCTTCTTTTTGTTTGACGTGCTCCTCTTGAAACTGGGCTTAGAATCCAACTTGTTATCTACATCATCATCTTGGTGCTGCAAATCCACATTCACAGTACCATTGCGGTTTTCCTCAACTTCATGAGAACCATTAACAGCTTGAAAAGTACCAGCTATGCTTTCTGTAGACATATCCCCAGTACTACCACTATTTCCCGTGACAACAGAGTTTTCATTTCCATGCTTTGACTTCTTGCTCTGGCTCCTAATAGTTGCACGTACTGAAGATGCTATTTCATTGGCTCCATGAGTAATGGTGCTCAAAAAACCACCTGCGGAAGTCTGGTTCAATTCCTTTACATGAAGGGGTGACAGAATCAACCTTCTGAATGGACCTAGATCACAAATATCGCCTGTTTCATTGGACATGCTACTGTGGCAATCAACATGTACCACTGTTTGACACCACAAGCAGTACCATATTGGGGATCCACCAAGAAAAGACCCACTACATGGTTCTTCACAATAGCTGCAGAAAGAAGTTTCATCAGGTAGATCTGCTGCCTCTCTCCAACGGACAGCCCACTGGTGCATCACGTGCTCAAACCCCATCATGAAAACACACTTGCAATCCTTATGCGCACTAGAAGAGCAGCTCAGATGAGCCACAGCACCACAAATGTTGCAATGGTGACTAAAACTATCTGAAGCTGTCATAGGCCCAAGAGTTTGAGAAGGGCTCATGGATTTTAGGCAAACACAGCAATTCAAGTTCTTTCCACGAGATATAGATTCTATAACCCAAGTATGAGGAGCTATAGGAACCTTCTGACGTGCCTTCGGGTTTTCCTTTGACCTGGCTATGGCTTTCATCCAACTTAAATTGATATTTCTCCTCCATTGGAAGGCGGAGTAGGCTATGGTAAAAATTCCAACTAGGGCTGCAATAAAGCAAGAGACTATGAAAAGGCGATCGGTTGGATTCTTGTTGTTCCAATAGGGCAAAAACATATCAAAGTCTCCATCGTAATCCATCCTCAGTGACAACCTCTTCGAATCTACATAGACGCACCCAGTAAACTGCCTAAAACCCAATTTAATTAGAAATCAAAGTCATAAATCCTCCAATACGATTTTATCATTCGCTAACACTATCAAAACCCTCAAACTCATTCCAACACCCAACTCATCATCCTACTTAATTCATACACCCTAGTTCATAAAAATAAGAAAAATTGTTCAACACATAAAACGAATATTATTCCAATTTTCCAAATGTTTCCACAGAGCACTTGGTACTTGCTAACATTGGATTGTTCAACACATAGTTCTATCATGAAACTAAAACAGAAAAATTGGCAGCTTATTGAAAAAAAAATATATATCTAAACATTTTAAACATAGATGATAGTCCAGTCAAACCAATAAACTTCCATATTTTCAGACCAAGCAAACAACCCAACCTAACCTCCTATAATACTTCATTTTCTATTCCAATTTCTCGGCAACCAAACAGAAAATCTAATACAATACAAATTAACATACATACATTCCAATATCTAACTATATATACACACACATTATATACGCACGGAAACATGAAGATTTCAGAAAATGAAGCATGAAAGGATTGAAACTGGAAAACGAAAAAGGACTTACAGTGACGGACGGCGGAGGACGGAGGTGCGATCCGCCGATCTAGCTTGATCCACGCCGGGAGGCAAAGCTTTGGAGAGTGTAGGAATCAGAAGCTAAAACCCATATCCAAGGAAAAGCAAATGGCATTTCGAATTCGATTTTTTGTTTTTCTTGAGCGCTAATTAATTAATTTTTGTTTATTTATAGTTGTAAGATTATGAGGTGAAGTGGTCGGCTGGTGTAGTGTAGATGGCGCGTAGGCTACGTGGCGGACGGAGAGGGCATGACGTGGAGCGCTTTTTGTGGGACCCGGAACCTCCGTTCTCCCTGGCTGTTCGAATACTTGACACTTGACGGCTCCCTTCGGGCTCCGGTCCCTTTCGGGCCGACATCGGTGTAATTTTTCATTTACAGCAAAAATATAGAAATAATTAGGATTAAACCACCGGAAAATGATCATTTCCAGATCCTTTTCACTTAATTCTTTTCATCAAATAATTTAAGTTCTTAAAATTTGATCTAGCGGCTACAAATAATGGCACACTCTAAAAGTTATAATAACTTTAACCATTGGATCAAATTTCACGGATTCAGATTGTTTGATAAGAAGGATTAGATAAAAGGGATGCAAAAAAATCATTTCCTAAACTACCGACCTAAATTAGGATTGAACTTTAAATTGGATTTTAGTTACTCGTGAAATTTGATTGTTTCACTAATTCCAAAAAATTTAGACACTTCAATCGACATCAAAGATATTTTAGGAGAATACACTTCTTTTAAAAACACTTCTGCCCAAAAGCAGTTTCACACTAAGCTCTTATATAAAAAAGAAACACTTTTGCTCAGAAACAGTTTCATAGTAAGCTCTTGTACTTAAGAGTATAACGAAAAGATATTTTAGGGGAATCCGCTTATCTAAAAAAACACTTTTGCTCATAAGTTGTTTCACAGTAAGCTCTTATATTTGGAGTATAACGAAAATTTTAGAAAGAATTTCAGGTGCTTATATTTGGAGTACATTCAATATTCCTGGAAAAGCATTTGTAATTACTTCATGTAAAAAACACACGACGGATATTTCTTTCAAAAAGCATTTCAGGTGTTTCTTCAACACATAATCACTTTGTAATTTTTTTTTTTTTTTTTTTTTTTGCAAACATTATTAGGACTGCTTGTGCTGATTTGAAAGTGTTATTTTCAAAGCACTTCCAATGCTTAAAAATGCTTTTAAAATAGCCCCAAAACTTTTAAGAAGCAGCACACAAGTGCTTCTTTCAAAGACTGAAAGTGCTTTTTGAAGAAGCACTTGCATTTTTACTAAAAATTTCAATATACTTCTAATGGAAGCGCTTTTACTAGATATGCTTATGAGCAAAAATGTTCTAAAAAAGACGCTCCAAATAATACTTCCAATTTCAATTTCCAAGTCGCTTATTAAAAACTTCTCGTGCCTGAAAGTAAAAGACACTTCCAATAAAAGCACTTCTTAGCAAAAGCACTTTATAGAGATGCATCTCCAAACTGTGTGGGTGAGTAAGAAGGGTTCATGTAACAAAACTTAAAATTGAGAAAGCCAATTTCAACTTCAAAATTAAACCGAATAACAAAGGAAGCGATGTTCATGATCATAAAAGTGCCAAGACACAACACATCAAAATCCTTCCTATATCTACTCATTCAAGCAAAACTGCAAAAAGTTTTCTAACTTGTTTTGCATCCATAATAAAGACTTTCACGTAACCCGCTTAGATTGCGACAGCGATCCGTCCAGCAACTTGGTCGAGATCCCTCTGGCCACTAGATGAGATTTTCCTTCCACTAAACACAGGAATACAAGTAGTTTAGTCGCCAAAAACTTCGATTCATGTTGTCGTTTGTCATAATGAAACCAAGAGTTATGTGAAAGGAACTCACCCTTTGGCGTCAACGTCAATGATGTTTATCCTCTGCAATTGTTGAAGGATGTGACGAGCAATTGCGCCACTGCTTTTACAGAAATGAGGCGGGCGACTGCCGTTCCTCTTGCTTCCTCCATAAATCCTACGGAAGGCACCTACACCAAGACCACCCCTCAAGTAGACTTTCCTTGCCATGGATGCTGCAAAGATAATTAAATTCGGATTAAGATACGCACAGTAAACAGTTTTATCACACCAAAACTAGTGGAAGGTTTTGTGCATATGTGGAGAAAGGGATAGAGAATTCCACATACCAGATCTGATGTAGTACCAATCAGGGTCGTACGGTGCAAGCTCCTTGAATGTAGCAGGTCTTCACAATGTCGGTCCAGTCAGGAAGCTCAATCTATCATGCGAAATGAGAAGAGACTCCTCATTGAAGAGGGGCAACAAAGTAAACCTACTAGCGAGTGAAGAGATATCATATACAAAAAATCATTAAACAAAGTAAACCTACTGGCAATTACGTTTCTACCTTCAAGGATATCACGTGACTATAAGAACTTCTGTTTTTTGTCTATGTAAAGAAGAAAATAAGGAACGAAACACCAGCTAAATAAGATTTCTTTCGTAACAAAACTAAAGAACTTGCAGCCAGAGCGGGTACAAGATACAAAATCCAGCATCCATTACTGATGGCCACAACTAAAGGGCCTAACGTAACGGTAGTTTACACACATTGTATGCAATTTTTGTTCACTCGAAGAAAGTGAGACAAACGACCATAACATGCTTAATTGCTAATGAACCTTTCAGAGACCAAAACAACACAACGCAGAAATAAAAGCAATTTCAAAGGATCTACTATGTTTTCATAATAATTGAACACTCGCATTCCCTCAGCGCCACTCAATAGCGAAAATGGCATATCCAATCCGGTGTTTTTCCGAAGCATTATAGTTCAGCAATTTCCTTTTCCCTTTACGAGCCAAAATTCAGTTTCCTCTCTTAAAATCGCACAAATTGACCAATGTAAGAGATCCAACAAAACCCACAACAAACGCAGCCTCCCATTTTTCACAAATTTACACTAGTTTCAGCATACAAACTATAACAAACTCGAATGCTGGAGAACCAAAAATTGAAACCAAATGTTGCGATTATCTAAGCTTGCAATCTGTGCATATAACAATAAGTGTATCGATCCTAAAATATATAGGGCTCGTGCTTTTAAAATAACTGACAGTGATTTTGGCGAAAATGTTTTTGGATTATAAAAGCATTTAAAGTGCTTCCCGCAAAGTGCATTTTGAGGATTCACCTGTATTTTTACGGAAGATTAGTTCCAAAAATATTTTCACCAGTAACGTTTTCAGTCATTTTAAAAGCACTTCCAAACCAACTCATAGCCACACAACACAGATATATGCACACACACACAAATGAGAGATAGAGACTGACTCGGCCGGAGCGCTTCAGGTGAGCGGCGTAGGCCTTGACGAATTCATGGGGGGACACGTCCTTCACTGTTCTCGCCGCCTCCATCTTCCGATTACGTAAAGCTCTGCTTCACCTTCTCCTTCTCCTTCTCCTGCTTGCTGCGGCGGCGGAGCACGTCCGAGTCTTCTTCTGGCTTGTGCGTATGGGAGGAGTGTAACCAAGGTTTGGGATTAGGGTTTTATGCGGTTCGGCTGTTGAAGCATATTGATCCCAATTGGAAAATACGAAACCCGTTCGTTATTTTTTCTTCGAATCTCAGATTGGGCTTCTTTCACATTTTCCATATTTGGGCCCAACTAAATCAGTTTTGGGTTTTTGGGACTACGGTAGCCTCAAGCCCAAGTATTGTGGGTCAAAAACATAGGCTTACATATTATGAGTCCAAGGCTCGGTCTCTTGGTCATCTGGTAATCGAGGTTTTTTTGGTCACCTATATTTGAATTTGATATTAGGGATTGAGATTAAAATAAACAATATTAATTTATTTTTCACCATAATATCCAATTTAATGGAGAGTGGCCTTGCATTCATTCATCACGTAGTGACCAAAAGAACATTTTTGTAAGGATGGTGTTATTCACACATATTTTTTTACCTCCCCACACGCCCCATGTTAATTTATATTCTTTGATCTTCTTCAATTCATCAATCCAACAAGCAAAAATTAAGAAAAGTGTGTAGGAGGTAAAAAGAGGTGTATGGATAGCTCTACCCTTATGTAATTATACTAGCGTCCTTAGAATTAAAATCAAATCTCATATTGGCCTATGAAGTCACGAATTATATGGCTCGTTTGGAAGTGCTTTTAGAATGGTTAAAAGTGCTTTTAGAGAAAATAATTTGGGTTTCAAAAACTGTTAAAGTGTTTCCTACAAGAAGTACCAGTTATGTGCTTCCAACTGGTGCTTTTTGCAAGAAGCACTTCAAGTGTTTTTCCATAATTCACTTTCATTTTTACAAATGATTGGTTCCAAAAACATTTTCATCAAAAGCATTTTTCGCCATTTAAAACTACATCCAAACGTTGTTTGTTATCATACTCAACCTCGACACAGTTATATTGGGTTGACCAAATGAAAAGGAGGGCCTTGTCATTTAGCCCCAACACCAGCGAGCCACATTAAAGGCTACCCTGGGCTGTAGCCTAGGTAGCTTTCGGTAGAAAATAAAATTTTACAGTAATTTTTACTGATTTTTTAATGTAGCCCACCATATATTTAGTTACTAATTCGAATTATCTCGGTTTAATTATATAATACAGTTTACAAACCATCTCTTTTTTCTCACAGCTTGTTTCTCATCTCTTCTTAGTACATGTACAAGTTTGAATTTGTTTGAATAACGAAAATTCTTAACTCACCTTGTGAAAATTTTATTAAGCTAGCTGATATTGTGAAAAATACAGTATTAAGTTTCTTTGTTTATAAAGTTTTAATCTTTAAGCTAGCTCACCCTGATGAAAATTGTCTAGCTCCACCATTGAGCCCCAAGCCCTAATCGAATAATGCAAGTTACTTGTACATGGGACTTAATTATATTAGAACGCTTATTAAAAAAAAAAAATTAAAATTAAAAAAAAATAAAAAATTTATCAGGTTAAAATGTGATTGAATAAGAAGAAACACTCTTAAGAAAAATATGTATTTAAATTTTGAAAGTTTCTGCTTGGTTGTATATTGGTAGGATTTCTTTTTTCCTGGGTTGATAATGTACGTAAAACAAAGGGTTGATTGACTAGGTCTCTTTTCTCAAGATATATCCATCCCACAGAAAAATAATGTAAAAAACT